CGGCTAGACTGAGACTAACTATCTCTCTGCAAATTAGCGGCACTCGACGAGAACGCGAACGTGTCAATCGATCTATCGATTTCTTATTGATCTTGCAATCTGTGTTTGACCATATCTATCGGAGCGACTCGGCGAAGCGCTGACGTCGTTAAGACGTCCAAGTTTCCGGAGAATCTCGAGGATTTAGAGGGAGGATTCGAGATCGCAGACTATTCCACATAGGATGCCGCTTCGATAAGAAATAGTAGTAACAACGAACAAGGGCGGTAAGGAGCGGTAAGGGAAGCAAAACGGAGAGCAAATGGAAGAGAGAAGGAAATAAAACGAACGAATTGAGGAAAAATGAGAGAGAGAGACAGAAAGAGAGAGAGAGAGAGAATGACAGAGAGATAAAAGGGGGAGGAAGGGCAAAAGAGAGGAAATGTGAGTGAAACGTGAACTACTCGCGGAGATTTTATCCGTCTCGGACACCATTTTGCCGTTTATTTCTTCGCAACTGAAAGTCTTTTCCACCCCATTCGCTTCTCCCCGGCCCACGCGTATGTTTTACCTGTGCAGCGCCATTCGCCCGGGCATTAACGACGCTTAATTATCTATGCACGTTGCGCGCTGCGGGGTTAATGCAATTATTTTACGCGCTTCCATTATGCAGCGCGCGTAATTTCGTCAAATGAAGGAAAAAGGAGAACAAGTACGAGCATACGCATCATTTAGAACGTCGCCACCGTTGTCTTTCGCGACTCTGTCATCCCGACGTCCCGGTAAATCTCGGCGGATAGCGCGAGGAAGCACGATCAACGCTCGGGTATAATTACTCGTTTACTTCTAACGCGTAGACATGCATATTCATCGCTCCGTCTGGTATTGGTATACATTATTAATATTTCCGATTAAGCGTCGTTTTAACAAGCTGTCACGTGCATTGCGCACGTCATATCACGTGACGTGTCGTATAATTAAACTCCATAATAAGATACTCTTGGATGATTTTGTGCAAATAATAACATACCACTCAACCAACGTGTCATTTCGTCTCGTCTTGTAAATTTGAACATGCGGCCAAGCGAGTTTAAATTTTTCCTACCCGGTTTTCTCGTTTCTCGCGTCAGGGACAGCCTCTGTGAGCAGCTGCGCGAGAGAAGTTAAGGGCAATATCTCAGGCCGCCCTTATGAATCCCGTTTGTTACGAGAGTCTCTTTGAAACTGAAAATCGTCAGGATTTCATGGGGATATTTTTCGCCGTGTGTTCCGCTTCCTCGCAGACGCCCGATCATTTGTATCTGCCAGTGACATTTATGCTTGGCAAATTGGCACGTAATTTTTTTGCGCGTTGCAGGAAAGGATCGTCTGTTATTTCTTCGTTCGGGGAAGATATACGGGAGATCGGACGTCGGTAGAAACGTATTCACGAGCTCGAAGGACGAACGTGAACGGTGATTTCGAACATGTATTCACAAATGTGTATCAGCTTATACTTTACTATTTCGGATATACACTAATGCGGGAAAAGAGAAATTTTTCACATAGCGTAGGAGGATTTAATGTAACAGGTGGCTCACTCTGACTTGGCTAATTACGCATCCGTGCGACTTTGCCCCCGTGTATGTTTAAAAAAAAAAATTCATACCGCGATGAAGTCCGCTGAATTAACGTCCGCTGAGACTGGGTTGCATTTGGCTGCATTAACGTACTTGAATGCTTGATTATGCACAGTCACCTTAGTGCAAACATTATTAGTTAATTATCATTATAACTGAATAGCAATACTACTCGATGTTTCGATAAGCTACAGCGTGATGCCACAGGGATTGATAAATTTTTTGCAAATTGTCGCGACGGTATATACGGAAAAAATATTTTAGTAAAAATTATGTTAAAATTATATTTCTTTTTATAATATTGCTTTTTGTATAGCTAGACTATACAGTTTTTTTCTTTTATTCTTCTCTTATTGTCGTAAACTTTGAGCGCAATTTTAATTGAACGCGAACTACCAAGACTCAAGTTTGTACGAAAATTTCATTAATACACAAAAAAAGATTTCAGTTTGGTCAACTGAATGGGGAGCAGACAAAAAACTCACTTGCGAGAAATAATTCTCTGTTACTGTAACCGAAAACATTTGAGAACATTCAGCTGCGTTAAAACTCGGTTGGGATAATTGAGAGAGCAATTGGCTCAGTAAGAAACCCCCTACAGGAATCCTTCTGTTCTCACAACCGAGTTTTTCATCTGTGGTCCTCAAGTAAGAAAATTCAGTTACACCAACGGAGTTGTTTCTTCTGTGCACGCGTGATAAAATGAGGTTTGCTCGTAATTAAAAGCTCAATTATCCGTTATGAGAACATTCTCAATGAGATAAGATAACTGCTTAGTTTAGCAGAACATTGGAATTTCCAGATATATCCCGATACGATGTTATTATGTTTATTACATGGGAACGCGTGCGTCTGTCGAATATCATAATCATCGGCGTGTGTGCGTGAATATGTATACGCAAAAGTAATCCTACTCCAAAAGCGAATTCCGCGGAAGATTTTCATCAGGGCAGTTTTATCAGGGTGCCTACAAAGGCATGATTGATTGCACGCACGTGGACGTTCGTTTAAACAAGCACGCGTGCATACGTGTGTGTACAGAATCTACACGGTACCTCACGTAACTACGTTATGAATGATAGCAGGGGCGCATATTTCTGTGGCCGTTCAATATGATATCTGTGTAAAGAATAATAACGTAATCCATAGCCATAATTCTTTCACGAACGTCACGCGTCATGATCGCGTCTCGAATACGAAAAATTACTGCTGTAAGTCAAGAATATACAACATAAATTAATTGCAATATATTGCAATCAATATATTGTACGGCTATCACAAAATACGTTGTCAATGGATTGCGTTAAAATCGTCACACGATATAAATCGCAATAAATCGCGTATCTTTTATAATTCATTTTTCATAGAATTTATCACATGTTGGCGAGAACTTCCAATCGGAAGCGTAACAAAATTTATCAAAAATCGTCAACAATCTTCGCGAGCGCGAGTAGTCTTTAACTGTCCAACTAAGCAACGACTCGCTTCGGAATTGAACATTGAACAATCGCGATAGATAAGATGAGCCGCTCTCTTTAAGATAGAAAGAGACGGCCACATCTTGATATTTATCTGGATAGTAAACAGGCGCGATTAAACAACGGCTAGACTAATTAGTACTTTTGTTAACGTACTTTTCAAGATCCATGGAAAAGTGTGCTTACTTGAAGGATTCTCGAGACAGATGAAAATCGAGCAAGTTACATCACGGGCTCCAAGTTGGGAACGGTAAACCCCGTGGTTACAGGAGTTTTCTGAATTCTACCGGCTGCGCACACTGGCAAAGATAAGGGTCTATCCGTCGGGCGCGAGGCGAAGCGGGGCGATAAAACGCGAGCGGAGAAACGCGGAAAAGTTTCCATAAGCCGGAGAAATATCGCTTCGGTTTAAGATCAGCAGGAATTTCAAACTATGCAAATAACCAACGTAACGCGCGTAACGTACGATGCATTGCCGGTGATACGTCGCCGTCATAGTCGTGTATCGGAAAGGCGTTATTCAAGATAGCGGGGCTCGTTCGTATTAAATCGTGACGTCTATTAATTATCAGGGCAGCCTATAAATCTTAAACTTTAATGGCCGCTTAAATTTCGGACGATATATTACACGTGGTCCTGTCAATTTTGAATGCCCCGCGTTGAGAGAGCATGATGAATAGCTTGGAAGTATTCGCGTGAACTTTTTTGAGCGCCACACGAAACTTTTGTTAGATTTTAGCGTTTGGCCGATCGAAGGTTTAATTAAGTATGAAATGTAATTGAAATTTCTTCCCCGTGAGTCTCTCTCTTTCTCGCAGATTGCTTGTGATTAATTGGATTTATCAGCAAACGCAAATGCCGACGTCTTCTATTCTTCACTTATTTCAGACGTCTCGTATTGTGCGAAGATTGATTCTTGCAACTTTTACAAACGCGCTAAAACTTCTATTCAAAACTCCAGTCGATTTGACCGACTTTTGCACATGGCGATAATTCTACACGTGTGTAACTAGTGTGTGTGTGTGTCTGAGAGAGAGAGAGAGAGAGAGAGAGTTCAATCTATTAACCGTATTTATGTAAGTATTTACAAAACAAAAAAGATCTTGTTATAAAATTAAAAATTCAATATAATTGCAAAATCTAGATTAACATCGTATTAAATCGTGATGCCCTGATAATTAATAGACGTCACGATTTAACATAAAACATTTTACTTCTATCTCGAGAAGCTTGAACATCATGAAAGTTTAACGGAAGTTTTTCTCTTATCTCACTTATAAACCTCTATACGTGAAACTACATCTTTTACCACAAATTCAGCCAAATGTACGGTTATTAAGAAAGGAAATTACATGCAACTGTATACATAAAGGCTCTCATAGCGTTATCGAGTGCCTACAGTTAAAACTTTTTACTACTATTGTTGTAAAAGAAGAACTTTGAGTTTTTGTAATGCATTCACTGCAGGATTCCTGAGTGTCCATGTAAACTATTCGATCACATTGAACCGTTTCAAGCGGAAAAATTCAAAGTACTTTAGCTAACGAAAATAGCTGTTGGTAAATAGCTCTGTGATTGTAAATTTAAAAGTACTGTAATTGCCATTAACTTAGAATAAATCCAAAGAGATATATCCCGAGTCGAAATTTTGGTTCCACATTAACTCTGCAAATGTTTCTTTTTAAAAATACAGACACAAGTTAATCAAATAATCAAAGATTTTCACACGGAAAAAGAAATATGGTTGTATTATCCAAATGTTTGAGGAAATATATAAATATATAATTATCATTAAACATTTATATATAAATATATAAATGTTTAATGAAATATATATTGATGAAATATATAATAAGTTAAACGAATCATAATTCATTGAACTTATTAGAATTCTATTTAAGTTAATAAGATTCTGCTTAACCAGAAATCTTGTTTGGTCAACCGGAATTTTGGTTCTTCATATATTTTGTCAGATATTTAATTAATTAATTTAGTTTGGCAACCAAATATTTTTTCTGTGCATGAAGTTACAAATATTTGTTGAACGACGACGGACTATAAATGTCGACCTAAATTTCAATCCGAGTATTTCCTTGTGCTCGATGGATTTATCCGTTCTGGGCAATCGTTCGTTTCCGTTAAAATCGGAAACCTTCTGTATAATCTCACACACCTAGAAATATGTGATGTATCGTTGCCCATGTCCGACACTCTGCGTCCTCCATCCTGGTTTCCGATTTAACATCCTGGCAGCTCCATTGGGAATGGTACGCACCAACACATGTACCACGGTATACAAAACGTGCACTGGCCACCTTAAAATATAATGGAACTCAAGAAAGCATGTTACACGCGAGAATATACGTAAACATACGAGGTAAGTTTGACCGTTTTAAAGGGCCGCGGGATGTTTGGAGAGTGTCGATTACTTGACCGTACAATAGTGGAGGGCCGACAGTTGGCACTTGGGGATTGTTTTGTTACAGTTTCGCGAGCACTTTGTCATTCGATAGATCGATAGTTATATATTAACAATTTTTTATCAGGTATATTCGCCCAACTACGCATTTCTCATCACTAATTAATCGAAAGCGGGGACGTATTTTCTGAATTAATCAACAGTGATGAGAAACGTGTAACTAAAAACAGATTTAACTAGTCGAAAACTTTTAGTAATTTACTAATTTACCGAATGGCAAGATATTTGCGGAATTGTACAGGCACCCCCTTTTTCCTCTGATTATCACCGAATTTTTCATTTCTAATTAATAAATCTGATGACATTGTCACTTGAGAGAGTCGATAATAATAACAAGCGTGAAAGACGCCGACTCGACACGTCACGACAAGCATTGATCTGAATATCCTAAATATACGAGATTACTCTCTAATAATATACTTACGATATGTTCCAACGATCGCACATTGCTATGTTCGACACTCTCGATATTTATTTGCACGCGAGATTCACTTTTGATGGATAAAAGACGTATAAAATGCGGAACGGTGTCGATCAATGTGTTGATGATGGTTGCTTAGCGCGAAAAGATCGAAAATAACTAATGATGCGCATATCGACTATTAGCGTCGTGTCGTGAACGATAGCACGACCTGGAAAGGACGCGCTCTGTGAGATACTCTTTTTCTTCTCTCTTAACAGCCCGACGCTACTTTCCGCGCTCTGTAAGATACTCTTCTTTCTCGCTCTTAACAGCCCGACGATACCTTCCGCGTTTCGGCGTCACGCGAATACCCCTGGCATCGTTTCTCCTTCCACTCTGATTATCACCGAATTTCTCATCCCCAATTGACTAATCCGATGATCGTCCGATTACATTGTCACTTGAGAGAGTCGATAATAACAAACGTAAGAAACGCCGACTCGACACGTCGCGACAAGCATTGGTTTGAAAATAGCGAATATACGAGATTACTTTCTAATAATGTACTTACGATACGTTCCAACGATCGCACATCGTTATATTCGACACTCTTGATACTTATTTGCACTCACTTTCGACAGATAAAAGACGCGTAAAATGCGGAACGGTGTCGATCGATGTGTTGATGGCGGTTGCTCAGAGCGAAAAGATTGAAAATGCCTGCGCAATGCGTGACAAAAATTCACTCTGTCTCACTCACTCACTCACTTTATATATCCTTCTTTCTCTTGCAAATTCAAATATACTCAAGATATGATTCAATAGAAGAATAGAAAGAACGACTATGATTGGTCAGTCATGATTGACGCTTCGAAGCGTTTGCAGCGTTGAGTGGATTCTACTTTCAGTCTCCCGAATGCTTTATTATTGATAGATCGCTAATTACTGCAAGTTTTCGCTCAGACGCATCCGTAAGCTAGCTGTGCATTTTTCATGATTGTTAGTCAGTTCAGAAAGCGGAAATGTGTTTTCTAGATTAATTGATGGTGAGAAACGTATAGTTGGTAAACGAAAGTGATTGGCTGAAAATGTTTAGTAACTGTCGATCTATCCAGTCATAAAGCAGATGTTATAGCTGACGAGTCGCGCAGTGATGCAAAATCCGTGGAAGAAAAAGCCATACGATATGTGTTTCACGCGTCGCGACACGGTGGCGTGATCGTCGCGTGCGGCAGTTCGACCGGCGGCATTGATTTCATGAATTTGCAAACTTGTGGACCAGCGACATAGCAGGACGTGGAATACGTATTTCGAAGTGTTCGTTACAGTTCTCGTCGGGTTCTCTCAGTAATCGGAATATTTCGTCGGCCTTCGAAATGTTTCATCGGATCCCTGTCTCGTCGTCGTGTTATTTAACTCGTGTTTCGCCAATCGAATCATCCACGAGTGTCAGTGTCACGACGGAGTAGCCACGAGCCGGAATGTTGGATCGGGAAGCCGGGCTGGAGGACGCGGCCAGTGAAGCATCGTATATTTCCAGGTACATGAAATCATTGATTGCACAGAAGGTTTCCGATTTCAGTGAACGTTTGACGTCGGTTCTGTACCGTTTCTTTGCGTACCTCATTGATTCCAGCGCGGCGCTCGCTTTTCGACGCTTTCTTTCTGACGCTTTCTTTCATTCTATCTTTATCGCTCGTCGCATATAGAGGGAAAGTAGAATATTTTTCGACACGAAAGACTCGAACACAATGCTCTTGTGTATCTAGCGTTCTTTTAGGTAATCTCCCGCTTGTGAATATATAAGATCTGTCCTGTTTAGCTCAACTGGTGCACACTAGTGCAATATATTTATCTCACTTATTGCATCAGCGTGCACCAGTTCAGACAGTTTAGCCAAAAAAAAAACAGACCTATAATCGGAAGGTCGAGGCTATTTTTTAGTCGAATGACACTCGAGCTGTCTTTCTAATTCTAAAGGGCCGCCTATAATTATCGCAGTTACATTTTAAGCACTAGTCTGTGAATCGGCCATGTGTCTGTGTCCTCTTCGCGTAAATTCGTGAAAAGTGAAAAGTTCCATTGACAAGTTAAATAAAACTTTTCATTTCTCACGAGCTAAGGAAATAGATACACGATCGATTCACAGACTAATATTGCAGCCTTAAAACATAATTGACGACCGCATTGTAGATGATCCTTAACTCTCTCATTCTTTCTCTCACTCTTTTTCCGTCGATAATGTCAGTTTAACTCAATACATGGTGTCGAAACACAGGAACGCGTGATAGAATTTCGCCCTTTGAAAGTTCATACGCGATTATTGGATTTTCTTTGCCGGCGTTTGCATATTTTTCCTGCAAATTCTTTTGAGTGGCAGCCGCCGCGAGCGAACGGCTAAGTAGAAATACGAGAGAGCGTTCAGTTTTAATGACCGCCCGGCGCAGAAGTAAACGTGTAAATATTTCTCAGTACGTCGCGAATAAATAGTCGGCGGGTAAAATGAAAGTTCCTCCAACGGCAATCCGTATCAGCGAAAACACATCAGCGGGATTACATGCGCGATCCTTATTACATTTCGACGATTACGTAATACCCGTTTGATTCTTGATCACAGTATTTGCCGTATTTATTTCGGGAACGGTCGTTCGCGGCGAGAAATCGCTGCAGACAGCGTTTTCATTAGACTGCCAACAAAGCATCGTCGACAGGCGGGCAGCCGGGCAAAATAGTGCGATAGCATGCGCATCGGAGCCGAATGAAAAACCGGCTTGAAATCGCGATACTCGCCCGGAACAACCGATGGGCCAATGTAATCTTGCTTAATTCACTGCGGTTATGCGTTATCAGATCTAATTTATAACGACACAAGGACACGCTGCGCGCGCGCCACGTAACACACAATTAGTATCGACAGCGGGCGAATGGTATTGATTTTACAGCTTTATATCCGTTCTTTTGTCGCGGGCACGGCTGTCGCGAGGCGTGAGCAATTCAATATGACGTTAATGGGTAAACAACTACGCTCAATTGCGACATGCTCGGGGCGCGTCACCCCGAGCTACGAAAGAAGATTCCAAAATAGAAGTCTCGGCAAGAAAATGTATCTTCAAGGATGCATGCACGCTGCATTGGTAAAAGTGGCAGAAGTAATTGCCTGGTATCGGTAAGCATCATGTGTTGAATATTCCATGAAACCTAAGTCGAAATTTGGACCCTATTATATAAATTATTAATTATATAAATGTAATATTTAAAAAGGATAACGAATTGTGCATAAAATTTTCATTTCATTATATGACAGAGTAGTAACAGATTTAGTTGTAACTCTATGAAAAGTGTCACGAGAAAATTTGTGGACTCCAACGTTCGTGTTAGGAAACAGCGTTATAAATTCACATCGGGATTCTCAAGATTAAATGAGAAGATATAAGCTTTTCTTAATTAATTTTTTAGTAAGCTATACGTTCTTCAAACGACGTCCATAAATTCACGCTGTCTACACGTAGATGTGGAGCATTTACGCGAGTGATTTACGCGTAAACGCCCAACTCTGCGGAAAGTTCGCGCATGTCGATAGTCGCGAAGCTCAGCCCCGAAATCTTCTCATCGCGCGGTAGTGTACGGTAAACCATGGGCGGATCTTATACAGACGTGTGTTCTTGAACACCCGTGGTAACCGAATTTCGAAAAGTGGGATAAGGCAATCGCGGATAGGAAATACGAGACGACAGGGAAGTAGCAGACACGGAGTATCCCGTAGGGCATGCTGCATTTCGCAACCAATTTCTGGTTTACTTCAAAGTGCTAGTGCGATCGAAGTATATCTTTGTTATTTTTTACGCTATCACAACGTTGTCGAGAAGTTATGATGTTGTGCGATCGCATTAGCGAATAACAAAGGTGGCAAGTGTAATCTATGCATATCCGAATCGAAATTTTGGCCTTATGTTAAACCTTGAATTCTACAACGCAGTAGGAACTAAGTTAGCAAAGTAGATTTAATTCCAATGATACAATTTTCTCCTACTTTGTTTCTGATGATGTCCGAAATTTTCCTTTTCACTTTTTTTAGCATCAAAATAAATGTTAAATGAAATAGTGAAGTAGGAAAAGTAAGATCACAAATTTCGACTTTAGTATGTTGCCAATTTTTCCTCGCGCCAAATCGACCGTAAATACTTCTCATCGGGGTTGAACCATCGTTCATGCTCTCGCCCAACACGCGACATACGGAATCAGTCGCGAGTGCCAAGTTTGAATTATCATATCGGACAACACGTAACTCGTGACCGGGGCGAAGTCTTGCATATGCGTTGTCGACCGTGTAACCGCGAAGCTAAACTTCGGCCAGACTTCTGCCCACGTAAACGTCGTGCCGTGAATGTTGGGAATTATTTATGAGAAGCTGGGATGAGCCGCGTTCTCCCTCCAGAGCCTGGGAGCGTTCCCGATTTATCGGGCTTATGGGGAATCCAAGCTTCGCCGAGGTGTCGTCCTAACGCTCTACTTTCACTTTACGTGTAAAATCTCCGATCAATTTCATTTAATTGACAGAAACGAATGATCGAAATCTCAAGTAGCGCAACGACGTTCGCATAAAAAAAAAAAGAAAAAGAATGAAGAAAAAATACTCGCCCCCAGGAAAACAATCTTATTCTTAGCGGCATTCTTTTGTACAGAGTGGGTCACCTAACGCTAGTTTCTAAAATATCTCTGTTGTTTTCTTTATATCAGAGAAAAATGTATAAGGGATAAATCATTCGGTTGGAAAGGTCGGCTCTCTGACCACAATATTTATCCCTTCCAACCACCAAATTTATTTGTGACACATTTGCCTCTAATGTAAAAAACAACAGAGACATTTTAGAATCTAACGTTAGATGACTTACTCCATATATGGCTCCAAGAGGATTCTTCTAAAAGGAAAATACTCCAATACCTAACAAAAGAACTCCAGTGGCAAGTTGCTATTTCTGCTGCAATCTCGTATTCTAAATGAAAACTCTTACCAAAAGAGTATTTCTCTTCTAATGAAAAGGAAACTATTACTCGAAACTATTACACGAATTACTATTATTCCAACTTTCTCGTTTGAATCAAGAGGAATATATTTACTTGAGACGGAACGTCCTCTCACTAAAAGAAATTTCTATTAAGAATAAGATCTGTATTATAGATAAAATTCTTCTATCTTTAAAAATATTGTGGTTAAAATATTTTTCCTTTCAGTTTCAAAACAATTCTCTTGAGGCAATGTGTACGAGGATTACACTTTTTCGACTATTTATTTCAAGTAGAGCGGAATGTGTGCAAGAAGCCTTCAAGCTCGCTGTAAATCACTGTACACGACTGTTCGTTACATTGAATCTCACCGGCACAATAATTAGATGTAATACGCAATTATATTATCGAGCATTCGGTTTAAATTTACGGATCGCGTGCATATAATAATAATTTATTAATAAAGATACACATTTAATTAATGTTTAAATTATGATTACGTTATTGGATGCTGCGTTTCTCTCGATTTCCATTTCCCGACTACCGTATAGCATTTTGATGCGTAATTTATAATTAGGATTATAGCGCTGAGTTTAATTATAAGTCGATACGTTTGGCCTTAAAGTTGCTCGACGGGGACGTGGTGGTGATCCTCGGAATTTCGGCAGTCGATCGAACTCTCGACTCTCGGTTTCCCGCTAAATTCGCCAAGTTAATTTAGCAATTGCGAAAAAGGTTTTCAAACTCTAGGACAGGTAGATGCTGAGTTCCATATTCATCTTTGTGCTAAATATATTTCGCTACCACAATCGATTCGCGGTATAATGAACTGGAAACGTATTTCTCTCGAAGTACATAAATTCGCCAACGTAAACGAAAGGCCAATTTAGCAGGCAAACAAATCTCGCGTAACAAGAAACTGTTCTGTGTTTGAATTTACGCAAGTTCTGCAATTTATCTGTATTTCTTGCTTGCTTTTACCACAGCACTGTGATGCAGCTCGTAACGTATAACAATTTTACGTAGTATGTCGCACCGATAAGTAAACGATTGGGCAAACATCGTAAAAACGTTGTGTGCAAGAACAACAAGTGAAATATAAATAAGCGGAAATAGGCAATTCGCGCGGGCTTCGAAAATATTAGTACTTGGGCGAGTGTATGCGATGTGAGAAGTGACTCATGAGTTATATCGAAATAATAATCGATAATAATCGAATGCTGCTCCGACTTTATTATGCAAAATGGACATTAATTGTTCCGCTATACGCGAAGTGCGAATTCCCGACCTAAATTATTCTACTCGAGACAATTTAAGAATATCTCTGTTCTACCCAAGGAGATAGAGGAGATTTTTCTCCGCATGAAAACGCTGAATGCACGAATATTATATCTCTGCGGTTAATTAAAAGAATACGTGCTCGTACGTGCGCTCTTATGTCCTTTGAGAGACGAGAATTCATTCGTGAATGCGGTCTTATTCAAGGAGGATGTGTCTATAAAGAAGAAGCGAAAAGACTGAATCGAAACTGGAACG